CTCGTTATGTGCGCTACGAGTTCGTAGTGACACCTTTCGGGCTCACCAACGCACCAGAAATGTTCATGGACCTCATGAACCAAGTGTGCAAGCCTATGTTGGATCGATCGGTAATCGTGTTCATCGAAGATATCTTGGTGTATTTGAGATCCATAGAGCTACATGAGGAGCATCTGAGAGAGATTCTTGGAGTGCTGAGATCAGAGAAGCTTTATACCAAATTCTCCTAGTGTGATTTCTCGTTACGGGATGTCGAGTTCGTAGGATAGCTTGTTAATCAGAATGGGATATTTGTCAACCCGGCCAACATTAAGGTATTTATGAGATGGGAGGTGCCAAGATCCCCCATCGAGATCAAGAGTTTTCTGGGATTGGCCAGCTACTATTGGAGATTTATCAGAGATTTCTCCAAGATTGCCACCCCCCCCCCCCAGGTTGACCCAGAAGGGTGTTACTTTTATTTTGTGTCTCAAGGAGCGGGCCTCCTTTCAGACTCTTCACCGGAGATTTTGTGAAGCCCTGGTATTATCCTTTCCTAAGGGAGTGTAGGACTTTGTGATATACTATGATGCATCTAAATCAGGGATAGGTGCGGTGCTAATGTAGAGGGGGCACGTGATATCATACGCATCGAGGCAGTTGAAGCCTCATGATACGAGATATCCCACCAATGATATAGAGTTGGGGGCGGTGGTGTTCGCTCTTAAGATCTGTCACCACTATTTGTACTGGGTTCGGTGTACCATATACACGGACCACATGATCCTGAAGTATCTCATGGATCAGCCCAACCTAAATATGAGACAGAGGAGATGGTTGTGGTGAAAGACTATGATTGCGAGATCATGTGTCATCCGGGCAAGGAAAATATGGTAGCCGACGCCCTAAGCCGTAGAACAGAGAGTGCTCTGATCCGAGATGTGTGTATAAGGATGACGGTGATGACTCCGGTCTTGGAAACCATTCGAGAGGCCCAGGTGGAGGCCGTGAGACCGGAGAACCGCACGAGGGAGTGGGTGACCAGACAAGTGTCCGAGTTTGTGATGGATAGTCGGGAGCTTATGACTTTCCGAGGGTGGATTTAGGTTCCCCATATGGGTGGACCTAGATGTATAATGATGGAGGTGATGCATAGATCGATATTCTCAATCCATCACGGTGCCACTAAGATGTATTTGGACCTAAAGAGAGACTATTGGTGACCCTGTATGAAGAGAGATGTTACTTGGGTAGTTGAGAGGTGCTTAACCTGCCGTTGGGTTAAGGCAGAGCACCAGCATCCACATGGTCCATTACAGCCTCTAGAGATTCGCCAGTGGAAGTAGGAACATATCTCTATGGAATTTATCACAAAGTTATTGAGGATTGCGCGTGGAGTTGACGTGATTTGAGTGATTGTGGACCGACTGACGAAGAGTACTCACTTCCTCTCTGTTAGTAAGAGCTCTTATACAGAGAGACCGACCGAGATCTATGTGCGAAAGGTGGTAGCACGGCATAGAGTGCCAACCTCGATAGTGTCAGATCGAAATGTGTGTTTTACTTCCAAGTTTTGGAAGAAATTTCATGAGGATTTGGGCATGCGTTTTCATTTCAGTACTGCGTACTACCCGCAGATGGACGGACAGAAGCGAGTGGACCCTTCTGACACTCGAGGACATGTTGCGTGCATGTGTTATGGACTTTGGAGGAATTTAGGACACTTACTTACCCCTCGCTGAGCTTTCTTAGAACAACAACCATCATTTGAGTATTGGTATGCCTCCCATTGAGCTTCTATACAAGAGGAGGTGTCCGAATCCCATTTTTTGGGGAGAGTTGGGGCAGAGAGTGATGGGTGGCATTGAGATAGTGATGAAGACGACCGAGTAGATTCAATAGGTCAAACAGAGGTTACTGACGGTCTAGAGTTGCCAAGAGTTATGCAAATAGGCAACGGTCCGAGCTAGGGCTCCAAGTCGGAGATTTTGTCCTCCTGAAGGTATCCTCGTGGAAAGAGGAGATCCGATTTAGGAAATAGGGAAAGTTGGGGCCATGATACATCGGTCCTTTTAGAGTGACCACCAGAGTGGGTAAGGTATACTATCGGTTGGAGCTACCTGCAGAGTTAAGTCAGATCTATAACACCTTCCACGTGTCTCAGCTGAGGAAGTGTGTATCCGATGAGACGACAGTGGTTCCTTTAAAGGACATTCAGGTGGATTCGAGCCTGAATTATATTGAGAGACCGATTGTGATATTGGATCGAAAGGTGAAAGTTATGAGGAACAAGGAGGTATCCCTGGTTCAGGGTTAGTGGCAACATTAGAGAGGGTTCGAGTTGACTTGGGAACCAGAATCCGAGATGCCAGAGTAGTGCCCAGAGCTATTTCTGGATCATCACTTCGAGGGCAAAGTATGATTCTAGTGGGTGAGAATTGTAACATCCGGATTCCCAGGTATATTATTTAATTCTTCATTTTTGAGAACTATTGAGCAATCCGACGAGTTGCTTCTACAACTCGTTGAGTAGAGTCATATTTTGCCACGTAGGATTACTGACCTACTCGATGAGTCAGAGATCTGACTCACGAACTAGACGCTAAGCAATGAAACCTTGGGTTTGTGGCCAATTTATGGATACTTATAGCCTCATTTGCGGCTCACCAATTGCCTAACCTTACTATGTGAAACCCTAAACGAGTGTAGTGAGCTAAGAGAGTCTCAAAGCTAATCTTGAGGGATTTTAGTTCATCTCTTGAGGAAAAGAGGAGTTTGTTCATCAAGGAACAAGAAGGAGCTGTTAGGGTTCACGCCATTTCGTCCAGAGCTTCAAGAGGAAGGTAAAAAGCCCGAACCTTTCCCCTTATTTGGTTCGATCTCATGAGTTTGAGAAATTAGGGTTTTCATCACATTTTATTTGGGACATTGAGCATACTAAGTTTTCATGAGGTTTAGACCTCAGACTTGGACCTTGTGAGGTCCCTAGAGTCCAAAGGTCCCAACTTTATTGGTATGTTAGAGCAAAACCAACATACATGAGCGTAAAAATCAAAGCCTTACGTGAGAATCGAGCCTTGGGATGCTAGATCTAGTGTTTGGAGTGATTGATCTGCTTTAAAACATCTAAATGAGTAATCATATCGAAGGGACTCGCCAAGTCCATGAACTGACTCGACGAGTCGGTGAGGGTTTGTCCCGATGAGCATGATCATGCGATAACTTGGCAAGTTAGGGTAAACTCGAAGAGTTGAGTTGGACCTTCATGAGACATCTGAGGAAAACGAGTGGACTCGATGATTCACATGAGTGCACTCAGCGAGTCGAGTCAAACATGGTTTATTGATTCGAGTTTGACTTCTGTTGACTTTAGGGTTTGGTCAAATACAAGTAATGAAGACCATGGAGGGGTAAAATGGTCGTTTGCCCATCCCAAGAATTAGAGAGAAAGAGAGAGATAGAGAGAGAGAGAGAGAGAGAACAACACTTGGTATATTTTGAGTATGAGTAGAGCATTAATTAGAGACAATTATCCTATGTGTTAGGCAGAGGCTAGTTCGAGATTTCTGAGTATGTGATTTTTACTTGCTTGCTTATGAGGTCAGTCTTCTCATTATACATACCGATAATGGTAACAGGTGTTGTGTGACTGGAGGGTCTTATGTGTTTATTTGACTACTGAAATATCCTACATAATGTTTATGTAATTTATGATGTGTACTATTTTGAGTTTACTGAGTAGGACTGGAGGGTCCACCCGAGTTAGGACCGTAGGGTCCACCCGAGATATGGGACTAGAGGGTTCCACTAAGATATAAGACTGGAGGGTCCATACTGAGCCGTCAGACTGGAGGGTCCTCACTGAGACGCATGAGACTGGAGGGTCCATGCCGATTTATAGCCATGAGAGGCTTATTATTTGTGAATGTGGTATATTGGAGAACTCACTAAGCTTTGTGCTTACTATGTTATGTGTTATGTGTTTCAGGTACTTCTCAACATCACGAGAAGGCGTTGTTTTGATTGTACACACATTAGAGATTGTGTTATGATTGGGAGGATCCTGGAGTTTGATTTATACAGTCTTTAGATATGAGATTTGATGATTTGATCTTGTGACACTTTTGTGATTTTATTATTGAGATAAATGTGTTTTTTTTTTAAATTGAAAATTTTGGTTTGAAAATTTATCTCGTTACAACCAGAATGCTTCAATTGTAATATTGTTTTCCTCCTTTTTTGAATTGTTGTAGACCTTCCTAATTGGTTTTGATACATAAAATAGAGTGTTTTTCTTAAAAAACAAAAATATAAGCATTACTAAAATAACTAGTTTATATTATACAATTTCAAAACAAAACCATCCAGGATCAAGTTATGTAGGTTAGAATGATATTAAAACAACCATAAGGTGTTTTAGAAGAAAAACTTTTAAGGCCATCGATCCCACTTGGATTTGGGGTGCTCAAGTATATAGTAAGAACAAAGATCATCAACATCTCTACACGTATCCACCACCAAGAGTAAGGCATAAAGGAATGCTAGTTCTCTTCTTATATAAGTAATTTCACTACAAGAAATTTACGACGCGTAAACCACGACACTCATTGATTTATGTTACGCAATAGAGAGTAACATTAAAAAAGTGTCGTCTCTTCAAAAAATTTAAGGATTTAGGTCACGCATTTTCGCGCACCCTTAAATTAGTGTCTGGTGTAAAAAAAATAAAAACACGGAGGGCACTTTATCTAAAATGTGCGTTATCTATGAATGTCGCTTTATGATTTTTACTAACACACGCATTCTTAAAAGGGGGAAATGAAATCCCCTCGAAATTCTTAAATTTTTTAATACCCGCTTCAAGATCCCCTTTGTTCTCTTCTTTCCCTTCAATCTGCAAACCCTAATCACTATACCATCTCTGCTTTAGATCTCAACAACTCATAACTCGTTCTATAATTTTTTTTCTTAAAAACTTGCCTTCCCTCTCTCGCATTTTCCTCTTCCTGTTGTTTCTTCCGATGTTGCTTGCCACTGTTAGGCCCTCTTTAATTGACACATTGCAGATGACTCTCCCAAAATCAGGTAATACTGACCTATTGTTAATTAGGTACCGGTTTAATTACTCCATCCATCTGCAAAGAGCAAAAGCCCTAAATCAAGTAAACACATAACGTCGACTGGGTACTGATTGGTGAGATTCTCATGACCGCACGGTTTTCACCGCCTCCATTTCCGTTCATCACATCTGACTTCAATCTTCTCTGTGATTCATAACCTAATTTTGAATTGCTATTTCTCTTTACCAATCACAAGTATGTCTCTCTCTATTCTTTATTAAAAAAAACTACAATTATTGTTTTGGTTTTGCACATAAGCTTTTGAAAATCCATCCTCATCCTCTTCGGAAAATCAATTCCACCTCTGCACGCCTCCGTAATGTGGTATGATAGTTTCCTGCTTGCTTCCGGTTATCCTGACATCAAGATAAGGCTAGAGACTTCAATACTAAAGGAGTTCATTTCATTTGCGTAGTAGATTCTTCTTGGTGCGACATTTCCCCCGAAGCTGTTTGCTACACTTGGATTCCCATTAAACGCTGTCTCCCCTTCATTGTGGTCGACTCACCCTCTTGACTTCCGCTTCACGCCGACTCCATGGTTAGTCTGTATTTAAGATTATAATTTCACATGTTTGTTATTTTTGTAGGATTATTCGGTAGGTATATTTTGATAAAGTTCATGCGTATTTTTCTTTTTTCTTGCAATTATAGCCACTTCTTTTGATTGCTCACCGATCCAGACATCTTCATTTATTTTGATTAGTTTTGCATTTTGTATGCAGATGAGCTTCTATTTAATCGTTTCCTTACTCCTTAAGGATCTATTCTTTCTTCATTCTTTCCTCATGGGTTGAAAGCAAAATGGGGGATATTGCCTCGTATGTTGCTTAAAAGGTAAGCTTGAACTCCAAATTACAACTCTATTATTTTTGGTTTGTTTAAATAAATGCTAATCTGGAATCGAGGTATAGGGCTTGAACCCTAATTTCACTTCTTTCTATTATGAGCTCTCTCTTTTGAAAAAAAAAAAAAATCTAATGATGTTAGTTCATTTATTCTCTACACCATTTTGAATACGTTTTACAAGAAGAAGTTATCATGATAAAATTGTTGTTGTAACATGTTCAAATCATGTTAGTAATCACGTTTTCAAAGTATTCATCACTAGAGTCATGAGTAAACAAGATATTCTAACAAGTATGTTAACACCTCTAACCTGATGATAATGAATCCACATGGTGGAGACTGTGAAGGTGAATTGTTGTGCCGGGTTTAAACCTTTCCCCCAGCTCAACACTTCCTACCTACTACTCTTCTCTGTTGATTTCTTTTTAATTTGTTGATTGCAGCTCACGTTATAACTTTTTATTCAAATTAGTTTTCAATGTATCATCTATTATTGAGATTGAGTTTTTATTTGACAGGTTTTTCAAAAGACTCAACTCAGGGGCTATTGTTGACAATCAATTATATGAGTATTACGCATCATCTTTATAATGGAAGAGTGGAGCATTCTGCACTCGACAGGTATAGCTACTAGAACACTAATCAATATAAGATTTTGAGAAAGACTAATGTTTCTTTTACTGGTGTTCAATAGATAATGGAGAGAATACTGTCATCTCCTAAGAAGACACGGCTTCATGGTGATGTACTTCGGATACTTTTCCTACATATGGACCCAATATTACCCCTCCCCAGACTTCAAATGCTTTTAGTTAAGTTTCTAATTATCTACAAATTATTTCTTTTTTCTTTTTCAATTCTATTTTGCTTAACATATGGATACTGTGTGCTACTTGGCAGGTTCTATATCACGTGCTTGGGGCTATACCCTCCTATCAAGGGTCTATAGGACCAGCATTAAATGAGTTGTGTCTTGGTTTGCAATCTGAAGAAGTAGCACCTGTATGTAGCATTTTAATTATTAGCAATGTAATCATATTTTATTGATTCCCTTACAAGCCTAACTTTTCTTGACATTTCTACCCTCGGGCTTTATCTGGTGTTTATGCGAAAGACCTTCATGTTAGACTAGCTTGTTTAAATGCTGCAAAATGCATTCCAGCTATATCCAGCCGTTCTGTTCCTCAAGATGTAGAAATTGCAACCAGCATTTGGATCGCCTTACATGATCCCAAAAAGGTAGAAGATTCAATTTTTTTTTAATCATGTATTAGATGGAAATTAGTTTATATCAAGTCTTTATCACATTATATGTAATGCAGTCGGTGGCTGAAGTGGCTGAGGATTTATGGGATTGTTATGACTGTGAATTTGGGACCGATTATTCTGGACTTTTTAGAGCTCTTTCTCATGTGAATTATAATGTTCGTGTGGCTGCTTCTGATGCATTAGTTGCTGTATTAGATGAGTACCCAGATACTTTACAGGTGATTACTATTTTCTACCAACTCTTATCTGATTCATTTAAATATGTTATATATGTTCTCATACAGATTGATGTTCGTGCAGGAATCTCTTGCGACTTTATTCTCTCTTTATATCCGTGATAGTGGTGTTGGTGAGGATATGATTGATTCTGGTTGGTTTGGGAGATAAGTGATTGCAATGGCTTTACATGCTGCAGCTGATGTACTTAGAACCAAAGACCTGCCGGTTGTTATGACTTTTTTGATATCTCGAGCCTTGGTAAAGTTTTAATTTTTTTGTTCAAAGTTTTTGATAGTTAGATTAGATATTATACAAATGTAGCTTTCAAACTTTTGATGATTTCAACTGCAGGCTGATACCAATGTTGATGTTCGAGGAAGGATGATTAATGCTGGTATCATGATCATTGACAAATATGAAAAAGATAACGTCTCACTTTTATTTCCTATATTTGAAAATTACTTGAACAAAATGGTCAGTATATGCTGTAAGTCAAAATTTTCACTTGAGATTAAGTATGAAACTCCTAAAGTTAATAAATAATCTTTCTTAGGCCTCGGATGAAGAGAAATATGATTTGGTACGTGAGGGCGTGGTGATATTTACCGGAGCATTAGCAAAACATTTGTCGAAGGTTTGATTTTGTCAATCACTTAGAAGTAAATTTAAATTTTAAAGGTTTCTCTTTTTTACTTTTTGATTTTCTTTTAACGTTTTCTTCTTGTACAGGATGATCCTAAGGTCCATACTGTTGTAGAGAAGTTGTTGGAGGTGATTAACACCCCATCAGAAGCTGTACAGAGGGCAGTCTCAAGCTGCCTGTCTCCATTAATGAAATCGAAGCAAGTATGTATTAGTGTTTCCAACAATAGTGTACATCTGAAACATTTTGAATTGAATCTTTTGCTATTTTTATTTTTGGCATTAGGAAGATGCATTGTCACTTGTTACTAGGCTGTTAGATCAGCTTATGAAGAGTGAGAAATACGGAGAACGTCGTGGTGCAGCTTTTGGACTTGCTGGAGTCATCAAAGGATTGGGAATATCTTGAAAAAATATGGATTTGCTACTGTTCTTCGTGAAGGACTTGCACATAGGAATTCTGCCAAATGTCGTGAAGGATCTTTGCTGGCATTTGAGTGCCTTTGTGAAAAGCTTGGGAAATTGTTCGAACCATAAGTTGTTCCCATTAATCAGTTTTTGTTTATTTATTTATTTATGTATTTCTATTCTATGTGTGATAGATAACACTGTCTCTCTGTTACAGGTATGTAATCTACTTGTTACCATTGCTTTTATTTTCGTTCTCTGATCAATTTGTTGCTGTCCGGGAGGTTGCTGAATGTGCTGCTCGTGCTATGATGTCTCAACTTACTGCTCAGGGGATGAAGCTTCTCCTTCCTTCACTTCTCAAGGTCCCTCTCTTTTTCCTTTTGTAGAAGATTGCTCCTGTGGAACTTCAACACCATGAAACTTTCCTACCTTGAGCTCCCCAATTAAAAGAAAGAGCTTCTCAACTTCTTCAAATGGTATCTTCTTTGATGATGTGATTTAATTAATCACTCGCTTTCACTTTCATCATGGTTTTGAAAACCGGACCGGACCGGCTGATTCAACTGGAAACCGGTAAGGTCACCAGTTTTTTCAGGCCCGAAAACCTTTTGTTTCTGAACCGGTATTAAACCGGACGGTTCGTTGAAAACCGGGTTAAACCGGACTGATCCAACCTGCTAAGTAACTGGTTTTTCTTTAAATGTTGGTCACTTGTCCAATCACTATCATTATATGGAGGATCAAACCAGCGGGTGTTTCTTTTCCCTACCGATGTGGGACAACTCCTAGTTTGGAGGTAAAAGGAAATTGGCAATCCTTTTATAGAAGATTAAATGGTTGTAGGTTTTATCAAGTTTCTGATGTGGGATAGAAGAAATTCCAGTATATCCCCGGTAACCACAAGCTACCATCGGAGGACCACCGTTGAACACGCCCAAAATCTGGTGGTCACTGCCCATAGAACAGGTAAGGATGCTTTGATTTGGTTTTTTTTACTGATGTGTTGTTTTTTAGTGACCACGAGCCACCACTGGAAGACCACCGTTGAAGCCTACCCGTAGAAATCTTGTTGCCACTTCAATCCACTTCAGGTGTAATCTACTGTTCCCTTTTAAAAATTTTGAAACTTAGACATGACTACATATGATCAAAATAGCTATCTAATTTTATTAATAATAACTATTTAGGAGGTTGTACGCATTTAAATACACTTTGTCAACTTTTGACTTGTTTTGCCTGTTGACCCTATTTTTTTTAACTAATTTTGTTATATGATGATAGAGATATTAAAGTGCTATGTTTGGATAAGGAAAGGTGGAAACTTTTAAAGAGTGGGCACAAACTTGCAAATGTATGATTCCTTGTGTTTATACTTAGGTTTTGTTTTGTTGGATGGAATGGAATGAACCATTGCATCCATGCGTGAGTCCATATCCTCTAAAATCAACAATTTGGGTGTTGTTGAAGGTATAAAATAAATCCTCCATTTTTCTGAGTGTATATGGAATTGAGGATATTTTGGTCTTTTTGTAATATATGTCTCTTTACTTGTTCGGAAAAGTTAGAAAGTCAAGATCCAAGTAGAACCAAACAGGAGATGCAGAGAGCAGCTCAAATGATTCCATGTCTAAAAAACGGGTTTGGTAAATATAAAAAATATGTAAAAAAGTAAAAACCAAAAAAAACACCTATACCGACGACAAGTCGTCTATATAGGTATTAGCTATTCGAACCGTTAGGACCCTTTTCAGAGGTTCACTTTTCCCTCATTGGACCACTCACATTTGGCACAACTATTTGCAACTAACATTCCTTGTTTGATTCTTCTATTAACTATATTAGCATATTAATTTTTTGACTTTTATTTGATCAGGTCACAAGAATTATCGGAGCAGGAGTTCATTAGTCTTCAAGAATTATGAAAGGCAAGATGCAACTTTACTTAGTTGGAATTTGATGTTTATCATCTTTGTGTATATCTTTTTAGTTTGTATAACATTACTTTGCAGAAGCTGTCCCTTGATACGCAATCTAGTATTAGGCTATATAGTTAGTGAAAACCTCTAGTAACAATGTACAATTAGATCCCCTTATGCAGAGAAGAAAAAAGATAGAAGTTGTTGGCACATAGTAAGCTAGATAATGCAATTGTATATAAATGACTTCATTTTTTTATAACATTTACTCACTATTGGAATAATTATTTGTATTTGATATATTAGTGAAATGAATTATCTTTGTTATTTATGGTATTTTATTTTGTATTATGAGATTTTTAATGTATTATTTAATATGAAAAATTAGTAAATCTATAAATAATATTTTTTTTAAACATTTAAAATTATGATACGCGAAAATGTGTGTCATTTTTATTTATAACATGGCCTTTCTTGACAGGGGCTTTCTTGATGCGCATTGCGTGTCATTAACACGCGCGTCGTATGATTACGACACACGAATGCGTGTCATCTTCCTTTATGACAGGGCCTTCCTTGATACGCATTGCGTGTCGTAAACGCGCGTTGTAATTGCGCGTCGTAAATGAGCGTCATAAATGCGCGTCATCTCTCTTTATGACAGGGCCTTCCTTGACGCGCATTTGCGCATCGTCTGAGCCTTTTACGACGCGCAATGAGCGTCGTAAAAGGCGGTTTTTCTAGTAGTGTTTCTTAAGCCTTTAAGTACTTCACTCAAATAAGCACTAAAGAAGAAACAATTATGAACACCAAATGCATGCAACTAGCTTCAAAAAGGCAAGAGGGGGAGAGAGGAGAGCCCTCTCAGTTTTTGGTTCTTTTTTAAAGGAAAGAATTGTCAAAATTAAAGGCTAACACCTCCTTATATACTTACATGCAAGATCTTGAGTCCATACCTTCATTAAATACATGATAATGGTTTCTTACTAGCAATATGTGTGTAAGAGGGAGGTTGACAAGCAGCCTCCCACTCTTCTCAAACATACAACCACATGGACTTAACATGGACGGAAAAGTTGTATTTACTCTTCTATTAAATAACTAGAATATATGTATAAGTATAACAGTATCCAATGTGCCAAATAACTTGTACATGACTAATTATTTCATACTAAATGATATAATAACTAATTATGACATTTTGAAAATTTATTTTCATGAAATAATACTTTTCCCTAACTAAATTCAAGAGTTGATTATATTTATTAACAAATAATACTTTTTCCCAACTTGATTAAGGTATGACCCCATAAGATCATATGTTGTTAGCAATATCAGTCAATAATGATTCTTGAGCATATAGATCCAACACTTCCTAGTTAATTTCCCACCATTCGGACATTATGTCAAATCTTTATAGTTTTCCCTATAAAAAATGAAATTGTTCATCCAATAATGTATCTTTGTATATCGTGAACTATGACAAATGTCAAAATTCAGGATATTTCTAGACTTTCATATCTTAAAGTTGCATTTGTAGACACAATACATTCTAGACTAAGTACTTAGAAGCTAAGTAATGATCTTAGAGAAACTCAGAAACAATTTCATACACAGTCAAATATACTTAGTGTTCACATTGACAAGGGAATTATCCCACTTTTTTTTATAAAATGTCGAATTCAAACCACATAATTTTTTTATAAACTATATATACACAATGTTTAAGATAGTGAGAAATTAGTGTATTTAAAAAATTAACTAAATAAATCATATTTTTAACCGCCTAATTTAGTTTAAAATAATTTAAGATATTTATAACCTTTCATGATATTTAAAGAATCAAGATTTTATAAAAATCCAATTACTTGAGTTAAAAATTTTATAAACTTTATATCCCACAAAAAGATTTATAAACTCTATAAGATTTTATAAAATTATAAAACGTTCATCACCCTTTTTTCTCCCCCCTAAAAATCTTCCATATACCCCCTTATAACATGTCTCCCCTCACTCATTCATCCCTTTTCCTTACTTGCATACACATACACATACACCTACACACAAAATCTCTCTCTCTCTCTCTATCTCTCTCTCTCTCTCTATCTTAAACTCAAAAATCATCTCATAACTCCCCCAATATGTGAAACATTTTTCTACCATAAACCCACGAAATTTGAAGCCTTTGTAAATGTTCTTGATGCCTCATAATACTAAGTTCCTTACTAGTTTTAGTCATCTTCTTCTCTAATTTTTAAATTTTAAGACTTTTTTTTTAATAAAAATCACTTTCGAATCTTAACATTTGTATATAACCACAAAAAGCATCTTTCAAGTTCATGAAATGATGGTGACCCATGATCAAACCAAATTGCTGTACACTTACATTAATAATCGTGTACAAGTAGTTATCATCAGGAATGGTTCAAAGAAATTAAAATACAGTAATCTGAGTCGGGTATCACTATCTCACTTTTTCGATCTTAACTTCTTAAGTAACGTTAGCTACAAAACACACAAAAAACGAATAAAGCTAGAATGAGATTAGTGAGTAATCCTTAATGATGATACACATAATAGTTATGACACATAAATACACCAATCGCCAGGTGTATATTTACTTGAAACTCATTTGCCATTTAAGATTCACACTTTATTCTTAACTCATCTCACCATACACTCTTTCTATACTTACTCTCTTTCTCTCTCTTTCTCTCTTTCTCTCTCTCACTCTCTCTCTCTCTCTCTCTATATATATATATATATATATATATATATATATATATATGTGTGTGTGTGTGTGTGTGTGTGTGTGTGTGTGTTTGTGTGTGTGTGTATGTCTCCTTACTCACTCTATACTTATTCTCTTTCATTCTCTTTAATCTATATACTAATTCGCTTTCTCTTTTCTCTATATAAACATATATCTCTTTATATTCATATTTTCTCTTATTACTCATTCACATTTTATCTCCTTTTTTTCTCGCTTTCTGTATATTATTACTCTTGATATTCTCTTTTTCTATACTTACACTATTTGATTATCTCTTTATTTGCATATTTGTACTCCCTTTATACACAC